CTAAATACTAGGAATTCGAACTACAAAACTGAAAAGAAAAGAGAATAAGAGAGAGAGAGAGAGATGGAGGGAAGGAAAGAGGGTAGAAAAAATAAGGGTAGTTTTTTAAATTTCGAGAATCTCGATCTTTCACGAGAAAAGCCGTATAAAGGAAGACAAGGGGAAAAATAAAAAAAAAAATAAAAAGAATAAGAAAAATAAAGAGAGTAGCCTATTCGCGAGTTGTTTATAAAAGAAGAAGACCTTCGTTGGATGGACGGTGAATCTGCAATGGCTTCCGGTTGCCCTTTTTCTGGTGCACAAAGAAAAATAGTGAGAGAAAGAGAGAGAAAGAAAAGACGAAGGACGTAAACGGTGGAACGACGAGCGGGTGAGATCGACCGATAAGGTGAAAGAGGCGGTTTAAAGAGGTTGTGGCTTGTGCGCGTGCGACGAGGAAAGAAAGAAAGAAAGAGAGGAGAACAACTTCTCGTAACTCGTTTATGGAGTTTGAATCGAGTTCTTAACGCCGAATGCATTAAAAAGTCCTTACGCAAGGACCAACGGTCGCTACCGGTCTGAATCTAATCTTAAACTCTATTTCGCGGATACGATAAGAGTGGCTGTTCTCGCCTTGTTTCCTTTAGAGAGGATTTTGACAAAAATAAGAAAGAAGAAAAGGTGTACCGATGAGATAAATATTATACAGGGTGTCGGAGGTTTGTTTGTTTTTTTTTCGTATAAACTTTATTAATCGTATTGTACGCTCAAAAATAAAAAAAAAATAATATGTTCTTTAAACGTAGATCGTTTAAAGTTTTATTAGAAAATTTATAATATACATTCTATAACTGTTTAAATGATTTGCTCAAAAATCATGTTCAGCGATTCTGTTTGTATTATTTACTATCTTGGATTGGTTTAATGGAATGATTTGAACAATGACTTGGTCATCTAAATTATTTGACTTTATTCTAATAGATTTTTACTTGTGGGGAAATGTAAAAGAACAAATTTATACAACTGAGATAATTATACTTGATATTAGGATAGAACGGATTAGGGATGACTGTTACAGAAATTAATAGAAACTTACAAGAAATTCTCCAGCATATTACAAACAGCAAACTATTATCAAACTTGTATTCGCGTATGCGATCAATATTTGGAACAGCGCACTTAAACAATTTCACGAATTTATGTTATAATTTTTTAATGTAGCGTTAAATGTCTTATAATATATTATATAACATTGTATTTTTTTTTTTTATTTTTGAGCGTATAATATGTTTGCACGAAAAAACCTCGGACACCCTATATGGTAGTATTATTTTCACGAATTAAAGGATTGGATAATATTAAGCAGTTGCAAATTACAGAGAGAGTTCCTTTTAAGAGATTAGTTGATATTTATGAGCGAAAACACGGTGACAAATTTTCTACGTGAAAACGGCCACAAAGAAACCTCAGCATACTATGTCGAGGTTTTACGACATACTGGAACTAATAGCGTCGCTTCTAAGGGTTTCTCTCGTCCTCTTAGTTTCCCGTGACTCTTTTGGAATCCGTACATTTCTTTTCTTTCTCTCGTTTCTTTCTTCAATGAACTTAGAAAAGCTTTTCAAATACGATTTACGAAGTCGCATCGAGTTCTATAAACACTTCTGTCTCCAAATCAATATCTTCTTTCTCGTATTCTTTATTCTTTTTCTCTACTTCAGGACTCGTTAAGAGACTAGGACTCACAGAGGAACTCTTCTTTCGACACTCCCGAGGCGATAGAACGTCTCCAAGTGAAATTACGAAGTAGAACTCGCGAGGGATATGAATAAGGAGGTGGTAGAGAGAGAGAGAGAAAAAGAGAGAAAGAGAGTGAGAGTGAGAGAAGGATAGTAATAAGAAGAAATACACTATAGGAACGCGATCATTGTCGACAATGTCGTAACGCGATTTAATATCAGTGGGAAGGGAAGTACAGCGAGTTCGTAGGAGAATACATAGATACGTACATACATGTATATGTATGTACATGTATATATATATGTATATATTCGAGGCTTTCACGGTATTTTCTTAACATTATGCAAAACGATTCCCAACGGAGTTACCTAAGGTACTCGGATAATTCACAAGAGTGCGCCTTGGGGTTACCACCGGCTGGATTCGTGTGCTTGAACGGCGCGTCGTTTCGGGGAAAATTTCGCATCACTCGGGGGTGTAAGAGAAGAAGAGGTAGAAAAGAAAAGGATAGAGTGAGTAAGAGAAAGGAAAAGAAAGAGAAAGAGATAGATATGTACTGATACTACATGGCTCGTCGTACCGTACCAAAGGAAGGGCCGAAAAAAGCATTATGTCGAGCCCTCGTTGGAATTATCGAGAAAGATGGAGAGACAGAAGGAAAGAAAGAGAGAAAAAGAGAGATAGGGAGAAGGGGAGAGGACCCTAGAAAGAGAAGAGAATGATGCGTGGATCGACGATCGAAGTCTGACATAAATAGGGTGAAGATACTTATTCTCTTTCTCTCTCTTTCTTTCTTTTTCTCTAGGGTCCAAAAGAATTTTTCGAACAAAAGCTTCGTTACTCGCTATATGCCTGGTGTACGGGGGTTGTGCTCGAACGTGTGATCTCGTTTGCCTTTTAAATCGAGGTCCGTTCGGAACAACGAGTAGGTACGAGCAGACGTGAAGCTGATGTTACTGTTAGTCTCTTGTCGTCGGATCTTTACTTCGACACAATATTTTTAATTCGATAACAAGCACATGAATGAATCAATTTTATTTGTATTTTTTTCTTGTTAACCCCTTGGCCTATAACCATGAGTCTGACTCGTGGCGAGGAATTTATGCATAAGATGCCGCGTATTTTTAGAACGCGTTACTAGAACAAGCGATTAGAGTTACTCAACATCGAATATTTTTCCTTTGATTGTAACATCAGTAATTGGTTTTTACATTAGTTTCTAACGAAATTGCATGATCTTTTACTTTAGTAAGTAAAGCTTCGTTACACATTCAAACGTTTACAAAAACTTTACAAAGAAATATCAGAGATTGTGCAATGCGGTAAATTGTGCATCTTTGCAATTTCTTTGAAAAGTTTTGATGAATATTTTCTATACTAAAAGTGAATAGATTTTAATGATTTTTATATTAAATTAAAGTGCACTCTTTTGTATACGCGTAGAACACCATATCGAGTTATAAAATTAGCATGTAAAGTTCAGGAAATGTCAGAGAATGCAGTGCTGTAAATTGTGCATCTTTGTAATTTCTTTGAAAAGTTTCGGTAATTATTTTTTATACTTTTTGCAAATGGATTTTAATGATTTTTATAATAAATTAAAGTGCACTCTTTTGTCTACAAGTAGAGTATGTTAGTGAGCCATAAATTGCACATATTAGTTTCTTATTGTCGTAGGTTTTCTATGCTGTCTTAATTCGCGTGGATGATTAAAATTAGCAGATTTTTAAAGCGAAGCGAATGTCGGGCCGGATACGTCGACTATCCTATTGCCAAAGACAGACAGATGCATCATCGATATCCTCGATGGTACTTAACGACTCATGAAAGGCTATAAGGCCGCTTGCTTCGGATCCTTTCCCACTGGGAAAAAATCAACATATAAATATATCTATCTATCTATCTATCTATCTATATATATATAAATATAGGTATATATTTGAGGCTCGAGTGGATATATACGGTGTATTCGAAACTTCTCTAGTGAATTCCACTTGAGAAGACTCAATAACACATCCTCGAGGAAAGGGCCGTTTGTTCGACAAACGGCCAAGAGTCCCGTTGCTCCTCGTTGGTCTTTCGAAACTCGTGCCCTAATCTTTACGACCATACAAGTGAAATAGAAAGATAAAAAGAAAAAGATATAGAAAGATAGAGAAAGACAGACAAACAAACAGAGAGACAGACAGACAGACAGACAGACAGAAAAAAGGGAGAGAATTTCGCGAGTTTGGTTTATCGCGAGAATCCGTTTCGAAATTCGCACCTGAGTTTTTAACACGGGACGTTCGAGCGTCACGCATACACGCACGATGCCAACGACCCTTATATTTCCATGAATAAAGGGGTGAAATAAGGGTGAGGAAGAGGGACAGTAAGTGAGGGCGAGTAAAAAAGAGGGAACACGGTCGTGCTTTGGAGAATGATAGAAAGAGAGAATGAGAGTTGAACTAAAAAAGGAAAGAGATACCAAATGGGAGGAGAAAGAAAAGTGGAGAAGGAACAAGAGTGTGTGTATGTGTGTGTGTGTGTTTGTGTGTGAGAGAAAGAGAGAGAATGTGAACAAATAGAAAAAAAAATAAGAGAAAGAGAGGGAGAGAGAGATAGAAATAAAGAGGAAGGGCCTAAGGGAGAAGTAACGAAGGGTGGTACCCCCACCTACTCCTTCTCCTCCTGTTTCTTCTCTTCTCTTCTCTTCTCTTTTCCTGCATCGAGGGGTTAAAGCTAAGGTGCGGTGCACACGAGGCACTACGACTACTACTCGCTTGCCGCCGGTAAACGTGAAAGAAAGATAGAGATAGAAAATGTTCGCCGGCGTCGTCGGCGCGGCGCGCCGCGCCGCGCCGCGCAGTCTCGAATCCGATTGGCCGCTCGTGAAATCCGCGCGAACCAGCGGAGACCAGTTGAGTGCGAGACCTCGAGCCGGACGGTTGTGCACGCTTAGCAGAGCGCGTTTTCTCCGCGACCGATAGGCAACGCGGTCGATTTTTCGTTACGATACACGACACACCGTTCTTCCTTCAATTATTTTTCTCTCATTGAATTTTGTCGATGTTATTATTAATATTATTATTATTGTTATAATAATTATAATAAAATATTTGCGCGATCTTCGACGTGCGAACGGACAAATTGCTGGAAATTTTCATTTTTTTTCTTTCTTTTATTACTCTCCGAGAAAATTCATAAAAATTAATCGACGTATTATCGTGTAATACACGTATATATATAGCAATCTATTAGCATTATTATTGTTATTGTTATTATTATTATTATTATTATTATTATTATTAATAGTAGTAGTAGTAGTAGCAGAAATGACAGTAGTATTATCATAATTAGTTTTTTTTATAAAAGCGTATATACGTCGTGTTTAAAAGCTCGCTGTTTATTTCGTTCGTATACGTTTTACATCGAGCGTTCATCACTAAAGCAAGAGAAACATCATCATATTTTCGTGGGACAAAGTGATAATTTTCTTCGACGTTATCTCTCTTTCTCATTCTCTCTTTCTCTTCTCTCTCTCTCTCTCTATTTCTATTTCTATTTCTCTCTCTTTCTATCATTTTTTACGAATTTCGTGCTCTCAACCAATTTTTTCTACGTCATCACCGTACGAAAAGAGGATCCGAATTTTGCTGTGGCAGGCACGTCGATTTCATTGGTACAATTGGTAAGTACACTACACTTTGCTCACGTTTTTTTATCGTTCGTGTGTCACTCGTCTGTGTGTAGGTTTTATTGGATTTTGAAATTTTTATTTCTTCTTTTTTTGTTTTTTTTTTTTTTTCTCTCTTTTTTACTTTTTACTTTTTAGTCGTCCATGACCGTTCGACGACGCAAATGTTTTATTTCCTCTCGTAAAAAAAAATAGTGATTGAATTTTATTCGTTTATGTATATTCTTTTAGAAATCTGACGTGGATCGCGTTTGTTTCAATTAGGTCATTTTTTTGTTTGTTTTATTCTTTAACGTCGAAAATTTCTCGTACTCGTGACACGTGGCATCGAAAGTTGTGGCTCGTAGATGTCATTCAGAAAGAAGATCGTTTTAATGGGAAAGTAATCTTCACTTTTGGTCGTTATAAAACGAATCATTTGAATAGCTTATGACAGTATAGATGTAAACCTTGACGTGAAGAGAACTCAACGGAGTAGTTCGCGACTAAGGGAAATTAATTTCGGCTCAATCCGTCTTATGAGTAGATATACCGTGCCATTGACGTATCGATTTTACGTGAAAATTAAATTATTTTAGGAATAAACGATCGCGGTTAAAAGTTTTTAAATAGATGAATGGCTTTCCTTAACATCGATCATGATCCATACAATTTTGACTTTTTTTTTTCCTTTTTATTATACAGACTAAAGAAATGTTTCAATAGCTTTCGGAACAAAATTGATTTTACATTATCGTAGGAATATTGTCAATGTTTATAAAATTAAATTTTAATCGTGTTACAACGTAATGTGATTACCGTTGGATTATCATAACGACATGAATAGTTATTGTTCATTCAAGTCTAACCGGTCAGTAGTTCGAGTTCGTTTGTTTTGCCAAGTAGTAGTAGTAGTAGTAGTAGTAGTCGACCGGTTATGCGAAAATGAGTTTTACGTGCAATACCACTCGCGTGGTTTACGGCTTATTTTCGTGTAATAATCGCATTCGGAAATAAGCTGATTCGTGTAAACCGGTCGGATTGTCCGCTTGTAAGGAGCACTTACTTCCATTATCGTTCACTCCCATCACCCAACATTTATTACTCGTAACATCGAATATTTCTGTTCGTAATGTTAGACTCCTGGAATTTCTTCGTAGATTTAAAGATCGAAAGAGATACAGACGAAACATTTCTTATCTTGATTATTAACTCGAATAGAGGTATAAAGTCAAAGAAAATTAAATGAAATTAGCAAGATTTCGTTTGATTAAAATGGGAGAGAAAAAGAAAAAGAGAATGAGAATGAGAATGAGAGAGAGAAATATATATATATATATATATATATATATATATATATATACATATAAAAAGAAAAGAAGAGACACAGTGTGTGGAGATAAGGAAAGAGTCAATTAAAATGTTTCCTTCATCGATTTCTATAAAATAAATACACCGTTATGAATAGATATACGAATAGAGAAAAATTTCGAATTACTTGGATAGAAAGGTCAATGAATTCTCTAATCGTGAGAGGGATAAAGAAAGGAAGAGAAAAAAGAAAAAGAGTGAGAGAGAGAGAGAGACAGAGATACTACCGAAGCGAGAAATTTCGAAGCGTTCATGAGACTCAACTCCGACGCCGAGGAAAAGGCTTTTGATGAACGTGCCATGGCATTACGCGAGTTTCTCGGCACGCGGATAAAACGGAGGTCTGGCGTTTCTGCTCTCGGAGATTATCCGCCGATAGAACTTTGACAGGCGTACCGCAGCTATAGCGTAGGGTCCTTCCGGTCTCAAAAAGCGGCTGGGATTCTGACGTGCGTTAAAACCATCTCTCTCTTTCTCTTTTTATCTTTTTCTCTCTCTTTCTCTGTCTGTCTATCCTTCGTTCCCTTTCGAGATCAAAAGGGCACGCGTATCAGTGAAAGAGACTTCGATATACTCGATATTCGCTTACCAAAGGGAACATTGCATTTTCATCGTTGTTGAAGATCTGACAATCGATGAAAATATAAAATTTCGATTACGAGTAAGAATGATAGGGAAAATAAATATTAAAAATAAGAATAGTTCTTCTCTGTTTTTCATTTATTTTTTATCTCTTATTGTTTTTCTTCTTCTTCTTAATATCAGATTAAATGATTCCTTTTTCGAACATCGGCGAATTTTCAATGTTCTATTTTATGTGTATACTACTTATACTGATCATGATTACTCCGGCCGGGTTTCTTTACTTTCCATCCGTTGTTGACGTATAGAGGGTGGAGTCATCGAGAACTTGGAAAATAATAATCGATCGTGATAAACTCGTGCGTTAATATTATCCTGTCGACAGTTAAGATTGAAACTTTTTAGAGATTTTTGTCAACGCTCTATCCATTAGTAGAATGATATTTTTCTATGAAGATATTTTCCTATCCTACGTTCATTATTTATTCGTCAAAAATAATAATTTGAAAAAAAGTCACATTTATGCTTATCGAATTTTTTTTTCGAGATAATTTATGACAATACCTTGATAAATCTTTTGACAACAACAACAACAAAAAATATGAAAAGAAAGAAAACGTTAGCATTAACTTTGGTTACGTCGGTATGGTAGTTTCAAAAAGAATGACATTGTTTCGCATCGAGCATACTATCTTTTTTTATTCTTTCGTGGGACATCGTGGAATATGGAACGAATCCTACCTCTTTTTTCGTGAAAGCATGATTCGCGAAAGGGGGTCTCGAAAAAGTATCTTTTTCGTAGAAAATTCGAGCGAAAGAATAGAAAAACGGAAAGATAAAGAGAGAGAGAGAGTGAGAGAGAGGAAGAGAAAAAGGTAGAACCTGTTATACTTACTCGCGAACTGCAGAGTGAAAAGTTTATAGGGAGTTTCTTAAATGCGAAACTGGGCCTTGGCGAAATCGAGTCCCATGACGAGTGGAAGCGAGAGGAAGAGACACTGACGAGATCGATCCACTTTGTCATCGTGAAAAGAACGTAGGAACTTGAAGAGGGTTCTTACGCGACCCTTTTTACAAAGAAAAAGAGAAAGAGACGGAAATATACGTAAAAAGAAATAAGAGGAAGACTTTCGAGATGCTTCCAAATCTCTTTCCATCTTTTTCTTTCGAATTTTCGTTGTTACTCGTACTACGGGAGCGTTTAGATGTTTACATTCGATCCTAAGAAGTACGTTGCTTAAAAGAATGGGAATTCTAATGGCATTCTTAGCGAGAAAGAGAGAGAGAGAGAGAGAGAGAGAGGATGATAGAAGGAAAGAGAAACCCGAGGGTTAGGAAAAGGAAAGGAAGAAAGAGGAAGTGCAAATGGACTTCTCTTCTTTTACTATTATTTTTATTTTTATCAAGGATGAGAGAGAACACTAGCGACACTTTATAAAGTGACTATTCGAGCCGATTACATTCTAGGGCAGCTTCATCAATTTGGATCAATTTAAAGACGAGTCTTCTTCTTCTTATCTCTCTCTCTCTTTCTTTTTCTCATTTGCTCTTACTCTATTTATCCATCTTTGTCGTGGTCGTCGTTGTCTTCGTTGTCGTCGTCATGCTCGCGTTACGTTCATCGACAAAGAATTCTTGATCGTTTAGCGAGTCCGTTCAAGCGTTCTCCAAAGCGGATGCTCTTAAGCTTATAGTTCGTTTTCGATAAGTAAAACATGTCGTTATCGTAGCACGTGCCTCATTCTTCGATCCCATTGAACTTTCGTTTTAAAGAATATAGATAGTTATTCGTCTCTCTCTCTCTTTCTCTCGCTCTTTCTTTCTTATTTTCATCGTCATTATAGTCGTGGTCTTTTCTCATATTAGAGCTCACGGAGACCTAATGAAACGGGTACGTGGAAAGTGTCGCAGGCATAAAAAGTAGCGCGTAAAGATAAAACATCGGGATACGTTCGATAAAACCTCTCGGAGGCTTCTCTTCGTCGCCTTCGTGACGACGTAGCTACGGTCCTGGAACGCGGCAAAATGACCGAGTGCAAAACGAAATAAGGAAGTAAAAATCGTTTGCTTCCCAAGACAGGAACCTGCCCTAACTTTCTTTTTCTCTCTTTTATTCTGTATTCCTTCCTTTATTTATTTCTTTCTTTCTTCTCTTTCTATCGCGGAAAGACAGTATATAGTAGCCAGAGGGACTTCAACGGGAAGACAAGGAATGAGACGACGAATCGGATAATGTGGGATATAAAATACCGTCACGATCGAGATACAAGAAAAAAAGAAATAAAAAGACTATGAGAGAGAGAGAGAGAAAGAGAAAGAGAGAGAGAGAAAGAGAAAGAGAGAGAGAAGATTAAGGTGAGTAGGAAGAAGAAAGGTAAAAGAATGAAAGAAAGAGAAAGGAATAACACGACTGCATACAAACTTTTACGATCCTCTTCGTTGATTGCTTTTTGACATCGAACTACTCGATACTCAGTGTTCGTATCTATATAGGTATGTGTGTTGTGTATAGGTATGTACAAAACATTCTCTCTCTTTCTCTCTCTCTCTTTTTTTCACTCTCACGCGTTCCCTTTAACTCTTATACGTTTTATTGCGAATACACTTTTAGCGTTGGAACGTAGCAAGAAAACGAATAAAAGTTGCAGCCCCTTTCGTGTAATTAATTAAGCGAAGGATCGTTTAATTCCACTGCAAAATGCCATCGAACGATTGACCGGTCGGTCGACTCTTGCTTGAATTCTTTCGCGTATCGACTTGTGTGAATGACGACGACAACGACGACGACGATTACGATAAATAAAAGACAAGAAAAATATAGAAAAAGAGATAAAGAGATAAAGTAAAAATCGAAAGAGAAAGAGAGAAAGAGAGAGAGAGAGAGAGAGAGACTGGTAGGTATCGTTATTGTCATATCATTAATTAAATCTCGCTTATCGTTATTTAATCCCGTAAAGAAGGATGACTGACTTATCGGTCTGCACGATGTGACCGCATTTTTGTGAAAGTTGATCGATTCTATGGCATTATTTAATTACTTATGCTGCATCGAAACACGCTAA